GGAGGACCAGGGAGGATGATTCAACCACTCAACCACTAGATGTCGCTGAAAACAACTAATCCTACACACTGTGCCTTTGGAGAAGATCTGGACACCAGTAAGTCTCTTAGAAACTAGTGAACATTTTTATTTAAGAAAACACTCATTATATGTACAGTTACATTTAGTCAATCCAGCTTCAGCAACCTTGGATAGTTATAAACGTTGTGAAGAACGCCTTTAGAAACAGCTCTCGCCACTTCTACCACCGGCTTGAGAGAACGGGGTTCAAGGTTTTCAATAGTACGGTAGGCTGATGAAGGTGGGGTACATACCCTGGAGATCTAAGGGGGGTTTCCTCTGGGCTATCGTTTGTCTGGATCTTAGCATACTCATAGCTCCAGCTCTGAAGTACTCAGTGTCCCTGGTTTGTTGTCCTTTAGGAGACTACAGTCTTCTAGGGGAGATAGGGGAGAACCCTGAACCTTGGTTTAGGTACAGACCAAGATTAACCCAAAATTAAGGTTTTTAGCATAAACTCAAACAAACAGCTTAGAAGTGACAGAAATGCTGAGTCTGACTTCAAACAGACTTCCTGTCTGACCTCCATTTCCTTCCTGTTCATAAATCAGTCCAAACATACAAAACACCGGCTGTCAATCAAGCTCCTGTTTCCTTTGATTATCCCAGGAGTTCATCTGTGAAAACTCTTACAGTGTTCAAGTTTGATTAACTGATATCTGAGTCCCACATGGGCTCATTACCTAGGGATGTTGACRTYTCRTCAGCAGCTGCTGCCATTTTCTTCCCAAACTGCTGTGACCAGATTTTACCAGGCTGCTCGGTGCGTTAGCTTTTAATTTCCTCCTGCTTCGTTATTTCTACGAGTTTCAACAAATCAGGCTGACGTCAGGTAGTTAGCTACAGCCTCGTCTTACAGTTTTTAATTTTTGTTGATGTGTTTTGAAGAGACAGTTTTTGAAAAGAGGATCAAAGTAAATCACCTGAGTTTTTCTAGTGAACCTTAAAGAGATAAGCTGTCATGAAGAACATTATTTTATCTGCCCTTCTTCCAAATTTGATAATGATTTGAAACGTCGAAGTAAGTTTTTTTTATCCAGAACAGCGCTTGTTGCAAAGTGTTTTGATGCTCGTCTTCATCACCTGACACATTTAACACGCTGTCATTGGTTGAGGAGCTTTGTTTACAACATGTCCACATGGTTTTTAAATTGTTTTAATTTCCATCCATCCATCCATCCATCCATCCATCCATCCATCCATCCATC